GTGGCGAACCTATGGCACAGGTGCCATAGGTGGCACGCATAGCCCTCTCTGTGGGCACCCGCCCCATCGCCCCAGTCCTAGGCCTTCAGCTGAGTTTTATAAACCTTTTCGCTTTAGGCCTCCGCCACCGTGTGCAAAAAAAAAAAGTTTCAATCAATTTCAACTTCTCACGGGAAAAAAAAAGATCTCGCAAAGTTGGAATTGATTGATTGAACTTTTTAGTCCCACCCAGTCTGCTATTACCACCGAAGCCATGCACACCCAGTGGGCCACGCCCACTCAACGGGCCACACCCACCCAATGGGCCACACCCAACTGGCACCCGACAATACATAAGTGGGTTTTGCGTTACAGTTTGGGCACTCGGTCTCTAAAAGATTTGCCATCACAGGTCTAAAACAAGGATCAGATACTGAGCCTTCTTAAATGTTCTTATGTCCATTGTATTGAAATAAACTGTAGCGTTTTCCTTCTTTTGCCCTTTTAAAATCATTTCCAACAACTTTAAAGTTTGGTTAAGTTTGGTTAAGAGTTATAGTTGTTTCTTTCCTTCGTCCCAACAGCTATTTCATAAGGCGATGGAACAGGCCTTCCAACATGTATATTTGACTACACAAGATCATCAACCATTATTTCCATCGTGACCTTGAGAGAAATTTAGCTTCAGGGGGTTTTGTTTGGCATGAGATGCAATTTGAAGTCCCTCAAGTGAAATCAAACAAGACATTTAGCACTATTATCTTACCTTCCCAATCTCACATAACTATCCTTCTCTGCTATCTTGTGTATCTCCTGATCCAAAATAAGAAAATTAGTTTTTCAGATAACTTCATATTTTATTCCCCTGTAAGTTGAATGAATGAACCATTCTGTTGATCAAATGGCTTCTTTGCTTTTTAGAAAGTATAAAGATTCACTGACTACATCTAAAGGATGCCAGATTGGAAACTCTTGTTTTAGAAGCTGTCAGATAAATAAATAGTACATTAGAAGAGGGGGGGGGGACGAGGAATGAATGAATTACACCATTATGAAGCTCAACTAGTTTACAACTTTAACTTTCTTTAACGGTCAAAAAATGGCATCTTGGAGTCAGAGTTCAAAGGATGACCGTTGTGCTAGGTTTGCCACCAACCATATTGTGAAGTTCACAAATGATACAACAGTAGTGGGCCTTATTCAGGATGACAAGGTGGAAGCTTACCGCAAGGAGGTTGAGGGGCTGGTGAACTGGTGTAAGGAAAACAGCCTAGTTTTAAATACTAGAAAAACCAAAGAAATCATTGTTGATTTCAGAAAAGGCAGGCAGAGCCACACTTCTCTGTGCATTAATGATTCACCTGTGGAGATGGTTACCAGAGTCAAATTCCTGGGTGTGCAGCTAACAAGCAGGCTGACTTGGTCGCTCAACAGTGAGAAACAGGCAAAGCGGGCACAGCAGCGTCTGCATTTTCTGCGTCGCATGAGAAAAGCACATCTCCCTTCCCCTGTCCTGACCACTTTCTACAGGGAGACAATCGAGAGCATCCTGTCATACGGGATCACAGTCTAGTTTGGAAGCGTCACTGCTTCAGACAGGAAGGCGGTGCAGAGAGTGGTGAGAATGGCCAAAAAGATCATTGGCAGTTCCCTCCCTCCCATCCAGGACATAGCACAGAAGTGCTGCTTGAGCAGGGTCTGCAAGATTGTCTGGGATACTACACATCCTCTTCACAACCTGTTTTCCTTGTTACCTTCTGGGATGGGCTCCATGGTATCCGTAGCAGAACATCCAGATTCAGCCATAGTTTCATTCCATAGAGCATTAACTTTGTGAACTCTCAAGCTTCCTCCTTCCGTTATATATTCAAGATGGACAGTATTTAATATTTATTTGCTACGTATATGTAGGGGTGTACATATGTTGTTCATAGTATGTTTAGGTGTGTGTCATGTATGTGTTTCACTTGAGAGCAGGCAACTAAATTTTATTTTTGATGTGTGCCATTGTGGCCACAGTAAAAAAAATGACAATAAAGATTATCTTATTTTAAAGCTTCCCATGAACTCTGCTAATGACTTAACAAAATAAAATGCCTGTTTTAATTGAAGTAAATTGATGGATTTCATTTAAAACTGCTGCTTATGAAAGTGACATTGTTAAACAGCTGCCTTAAAACGTGCTTATTTTTATCTGAATGGTCAGAGCAAAATTAATACATTTATTTTCTAAAATGTGTAAAGTGCCACGTTCACCGCGTATTTTTTTATTTCCCATACACGTGATAACTATCAACGTGCCTTGTTTAGATATATTAAGAGAAGCCTTGATTGGTTGCTCAAATCTAAGTTCTCCAGGGTGAGATTTGATGTCAATTCTCAGAATGATCTGGAAGAGCAAAATGAATTCTCTACTGTACATCTTTTGAAGAGATGGTGCTAGCAAGGAAATTGATGTACCGAAGAAATCAGAAGAATTGTAAAAAAATGGGGAGAACCAATCCAAAATTAAGGACCGGCCAATGCAAAGAGGTCCATAATGGTCTTATATGCTCCTGAGCAATCACATAAACAACTTAGCTTGCTTCATTCCAAGTTGCCAAATAAAAATATAACAGCAACACCAATTATGGATATACAAATCGCTTGTTGTAGTTAATTACGAAGTCATGTCTAACTCATCACGACCCCATGGACAACATTCCTCCAGGTCTTCCTGTCCTCTACCATCTTCTGGAGTCCATTTAAGTTCAATCGGTGGCTTACCACAATTCTTCTCATTTCAGTTTAATATGAAAACAAAATGTTGCGTATTCTAATCGATTGAGGTTTTCTTAAAGAATGATTTAGCAGCTCTGGTTACTGATCGAGACCACAGTGGGAAAGAATTCATACATGTATTCAGGCATTTTGTATCTTTGAAAACATTCGTGGAAGACGATAAGATTTGTTTGAAGCTCAGTGTATTGGGCGGGTGGATTGAACAAAAGTTCCTTGATGTGCAAAGGCAACTGAATGTACAAAGAAGAGCAGAATGCAATCCAGTTTGGGAGTCTGTAAATTGTAAACAATTTTTTTTTTAAAAAAAAATCTATATTCCTAAGAGTTGGCGGGCTCCTACTATAGTTTGGCTAACTGCTGGAGACAGAGAGAAAGAACATCTCACACCCCAGAAAAAAAGCCAATGTTATCTACTATAATTGGCTGTGAAGCTATCATAACTGGATTTTGACTTGAAGGCAGTTTACTGTATCCAGTCTGTAACAGAGATGACTGATCTGTAACAATCTCTCTCCATCCTTGCATCTTATGTTGTTACATGATGGGACATGTTATTTCACAGCCTTATTTCCAGGTGGTTTATAGGATAGAGGGAAACTCTCATTACAATGGCACGTATAATAATAATAATAATAATAATAATAATAATAATAATAATAATAATAACAACAACAACAACAACAACAACAACAACAAAATAAAAAGTTGGAAGGTACCTTGGAGGTCATCTAGTCCAGTGGTTCTCAACCTGTGGGTCGGGACCCCATTTGGGGTCGAACGACCATTTCACGGGGGTCGCCAAACAACGCAGTCCGCCATTTTACCCCCCTTTTCCTTAGCTGTGCTACTCCCTTTTATTCTATTGGCTTTTGAAAGCCAATAGAATAGACTCTCTTGAATAGAGTCTAATTCTATTGGCTTTCAAAAGCCAATGGGAATTGTCCAGGCTGTCTCTGCCCTGCTGAGCCCGCCAAAAGTCCCATTCTGCAAATGGTGCTGCACCAGTTGAGTAGTCCTTGACTTATGACTGGTTGAGTAGTCCTCGACTTACGGTTGGGGGGTCACGGCATTAAAAAGGTTGAGAACCACTGATCTAGTCCAACCCCATGCTCAGGCAGGAAATCCTACACCATTTCAGACAAATGGCTGTCCAGTCTCTTCTTAAAAACTTCCAGTGTTGGAGCATTTACAACTTCTGGAGGCAAGTTGTTCCACTAATTAATTGTTCTCACTGTCAGGAAGTTTCTCCTTAGTTCTAGGTTGCTTCTCTCCTTAATTAGTTTCCATCCATTGCTTCTTGTCCTGCCTTCAGGTGCGTTGGAGAATAGCTTGACTCCCTTTTCTTTGGGGCAACCCCTGAGATATTAGAACGCTGCTATCATGTCCCCACTTGTCCTTCTCTTCATTAAACTAGATATACCCAATTCCAGCAACCGTTCCTTATGTTTTAGCCTCCAGTCCCCTAATAAACTTTGTTGCTCTTCTCTGTACTCTTTCTAGAGTCTCAACATCTTTACATCATGGTTACAAAAACTGGATGCAGTATTCCAAGTGTGGCCTTTCCAAGGCATTGTAAAGTGGTATTAACACTTCATGTGATCTTGATTCTATCCCTCTGTTAATGCAGCCTTGCACTGAGTTGGCTTTTTCGGCAGCTGCAACACACTGCTGGCTCCTATTTAAGGGATTGTCCACTAGGACTCCGAGGTCCCTCTCACAGTTACTGCTATTGAGCCAGGTACCACTTATACTGTACCTGTGCATTTGGTTTTTCTTGCAATGGAGAACCTTACTTTTTTCACTATTTATTTTTATTAGACTTCTATCAGTACCAGTGGAAGGGAACTTCTATCAGTGTTCTTCAAACTTGACAACTTTTAAGATGTGTGAAATTCAACTCCCAGAATTCCCCAGCCAGCAGAACACTATTAACACAAACAAACTTTTAGTATAGAATACTCCAACAAGAAGGATACATATTTTTGTTTTAGGAACAAATATTCTGGATGTTTCCAGAACATTCAGTTTTTTTCTTCTGACTGGGATGGTTTAGTTGATTGTTGGGAATTCTGAACAAAATAGGCCAAAAGGGTAGATTTTTACACATCCCTAAGCAATAAAGTTCGACATTCACAAAGAGACTTGTTCAAAACTCTGTTTTTAAACCAACAAGAAATATAGTAATGAGTGAGCAGGGCAGATAAATATATTTAAATAAAATATGTTTCAGCATTCTTTTATTTGTTTAGAAATAAATAGGGCAAAGAAAAAAAAACCCTCAATAGTGCCGTCAATACAATATTTTGAAGATTACTCTTTTCTTCACCAAACAGTAGAGTCACCAAATAATCTGCAGCATAGTGAAGCTTTACAATATGATTAGCCATATCTATAGGGTGAAGCAATGAATAAATGAATTAGAAAGTATAGCAATAGCCCTTAGACTTATATACCAGTTCATAGTGCTTTATGACACTCTCAGTGCTGTTTATAGAGTCGGCCTCTTGCCCCCAACAATCTGGGTTCTCATTTTACCAATCTTGGAAGAACGGAAGGCTGAGTCAACCTTGAGCCGGTCAGGATCAAACTGCTGGCAATAGGCAGAGTTTGCCTGCAATATGTCATTCTAAATCAGCATGAATTATTCCAATAATAATTCATAAGGTAAAAAGTTTGTGGATAAATCCAACCTAAACTTTTCACAAAGCAAAGGTGCGTGGGTTTTCCTGAATCCAAAAATGGTAAATTAAAGGTTGGCTATGTGAAAACAGCCAACAAAATTGCTTTGGTTCTTACAACTGTGCTCTGAGCAAGTCCATTTTATGCTTCAATTTGAATAGCAGCTATATGTTGAGTATACATTTCAGATTTATTATAGAAATAACAATACATTTTATATATGCATATAACCAATAGTCCATGCAGCCATCCACCAAACACTCCAAAACATTTATAAAGCTTTATAATAAGATATATATTGTATTGCACATTCCAGAGAGCTAGTAACAAAAACTGTAAACATGCAGAGCTTGATTTGCATTTTTTTAACATTCAACCACTAGTTTATGTGAAAAGGCACGTCAGTTAATAAAAGGTGAGGAATGGGGAAAAAAAAATCTGTTTCCATTGTTTTAATTGCCTCCCAACCAGTTGCAAAATATTGAGCCCATATATTATAGTAATACAATTTTAATTCGGATCCAAAGTATTTATGAATGTGCGCTTCAAAATGCAATGACAAATATGCGGCCGCATGCAAAATGTGTGTGTGTGTGTGTGTGTGTGTGTGTGCACATACATATACATACACACACACACACACACACACTTTAAAATATGTAAATGTCCTTAAAACATTATTTGTGATAGCAATTAAAAAGATTTTTAAATATATATATTTTACCAATAAGTGGTGTCATGTCAGAAAAACAGTGGAGACTGGGAGTTTTAAATAAGGAATTCTTCTCCCTTGAACGTTAGGAATATGTTAATAGTGACTTGCAGGTATTTATGATGTGAAGCCTCATTCTCAACTGGTACAGTCTTATGAATAATATAAGCAAGTATTTTCTTGAACGTCTAAATGAGTCCAAACTTTTGGGCAACTGGTTAAAAGGTTTACAGTGCTCGTAATCTTGCGAGCAAAGCTTCCACTTCAGGAATCACGTCTCCTTTAGCACCACCAAGTTCTATTTCGTCCCTTCTCTGGGCTCCTCCAGGTGTGACTTTCCTTTTTCCGACACTGTTTCTCTTTTCTACCGATGGATTAGCTTCGTTTTTACGATGACTGTCCTTGCAGGTGGGGTTCCTTACCGAGGTTCCATGCATACTGTGGTGGGGATGTAGCTTTTCTCCTGTCGGTGCCTTCTGGTTTTCTGTGTGAAAGAAAACAAAGCCGTTTTTGCAGTACACAACAGTGAAGTGCATAACTTTACCCATTCACAATATTTGTAGAGCTTATTTTTGCCGCCAGGCTGCCCCATCATCAACTCTTTCGGGAGGGGAGAAAGGGATGTCCCCAGCTTCTGTTAAGCCCCACTACCCTTCAAAGCAACCTCAGAGAGAGGATTTCTGCTTGAATTTTGAAGTACACTCAGTCCTGATGTATGACTCTGGCTACTCCTGTTTGTTGGGTCTACAATGCTTCAGTTGGTTGCAGGTTCACCTCAGCCGTTCATTGGGTTTCTTTGCAAAGATGGATCACCCCTTCCATGAGCCAATGATTATCAGGCACTCTTAAGAGTGTCAGTGGCTGATTTTACCAGCATTGCTAAAATAACATGGTGGTTGAGATCTTTGCTTGGCCTAGAGAAAGTCACTCATTTAAACTCTACAGAAACCCTAGAAAAACTATTTCAATTTTTCCTGTTTTGGGTAGTTATCCACAGTTTCTTTCTTTCTTTCTTTCTTTCTTTCTTTCTTTCTTTCTTTCTTTCTTTCTTTCTTTCTTTCTTTCTTTCTTTTTCTTTCTTTCCCTCCCTCCCTCCCATCTTTCTTTTCTTTCTTTCTTTCTTTCTTTCTTTCTTTCTTTCTTTCTTTCTTTCTTTCTTTCTTTTTCTTCTCTGTCTTTCCTTCCCCCCCCCCCTCTCTCTCTCTTTCTTTTCTTTCTTTCTTCCTTCTCCTTTTTGTGCATGAGCATAAACTCACAAAAATGTTTGACATATGCTTTTCTGGGAAAGAACAATGGGAAGCCACAGCAATGGGAAAATTGTCTAGTGGGAAAACATAATAGCTGGCAGTCTGGCATGAATAATTTTCAAGATGTTGTCAACTTGTCTCAGTTCAGGCAGTTTTTTTCCCCCCCTTTCAAACGATCTTAGAATTAAGCCAGACTGAGCATAGGATAGAACCAGCTTAAAATTTTTACTGATTTATTCGTATCCTGTCTTTATTATTTTTACAAATAACTCAAGGCAGCCAGCGTATCCAACACAAATTCCTCCTTCTATTTTATTTTTTTTCCTCATAACAGCAATCCTGTGAGGTGGGCTGGCCTGAGAGAGAGAGAGAGGGGGACTGCTTCAAAGTCACCCAGTTGGATTTCAGGGCTAAAGCAGGACTAGAATTTTTTTCCAACCTGGTGCCATAACTAGACCAAAATGTAAGTGAGGACATGCAGTGAGGTAAAAGTTCTGACAAGAATCAAAAGGAAGGATGAATTTTGATATCCCTGGATTCATGAAAATGGGTAGATTCTGCCTATGTTCAGGTAAGCTTAATTCACTCAAGCAATTTATAGACATTCTTGAGATACTGCATTGAAGGACCTTAAAGGTCTTCCAGAAATATTCTGGAGATTTGAACAATTCTTCCCACCTTGATATTCAATAATAATAATAATAATAATAATAATAATAATAATTAATAATCATTTAGAAAATGATAAAATTAAACTGCTCTTGGACTTCAGAATTCAAACAGACAAGCACCTGCAACATAACACCCCAGACTTAACAATTGTCGATAAGAAAGACAAAAAAGTCTGGATAGTGGACGTGGCAGTGCCTGGAGATAGCAGAATAGAAGAGAAAGAACTGGAGAAGATAACAAAATATAAAGACCTACAAATAGAAATAGAAAGACTGTGGCAAAAGCAAGCAAGGGTAGTACCAATAATCATAGGCTCCTTGGGTGCAATCCCAAAACAACTGGAGCACCACTTGAACACCATTGGCATTGACAAATTCGCTATTAGTCAATTGCAAAAGGCGGCCTTACTAGGAACTGCTTCCATCCTGCGACGATATCTGTAATACCATCAAACATCCACATCTGCCTATCCCAGGTCCTGGGTAAGGACTCGATAGGTAGACAAAATGCCAAATCCAGTCTGAACATCTGGCTGACTGTGCGATGATCAATAATAATAATAATAATAATAATAATAATAATAATAATAATAAAAAGAAGCCCGCCACATGTCTACTAAACTAAAAGTACAGCAGCTAATGCTGGACTTGACGGAAGCAATTCCGACAGTTCTACAGAAATCTGAACATACATTTCTGTAACCTAAGCAGTGTCTTCTCAAGTTGATCTAGGTCAGGGGTGGGCAACCTTGGACTTCAACTCCCAGGTTCTTCAACAAACATGTTGCTAACTTAACGCTTGCAGTGCTTCGCTAAACCAGTGGCAAGCAAAGTCGTAAACACAAGAACCGTCTCGTTTAGAAAGGGGAAAAAAAAATGGGGCTCCATTCTACAGGATCACCTGTACTTCTACATGAGAATCTGATTGTGTGTGGGATCTTTCCACAGTCTTCCGACGTGCCTGTGCTTAAAAATCCTAGAAACGTCATTCTCTAACCTTTTGTTCGTTCCAGGAACGTGCTTGAAGAGTAAAAAAAAAAATTAAAAAAAATGAATTGCAGATTTTAACTCAAAGCACGGGACCTTAAACAGTAAGTCAGTCAAAACTTCAAATGCGCTTCTCCCTTTTTAACGAACCTCCTGAGAGATCTCAAACTTTTTTCTTTTTTTAAAAAAGGAATATTCAATATTCATGTAACCTTGAACAAGGCTTGAAAATGGCTTCAACAAACTTGACATGACATTTAGAGAGGGGGGTTTTTTGTTGGGTTTTTTTTTTTTTTTGTTATGCGCTGAAAGATGTTCCATCATCCCAATTGTAATGACTTTGGAGCACAGGCAGTCACTCATGACACTGTGTTTTATGTGACTGGTGAAAATCCCCACCGAAAACAGCTTGTACATTAAAAGGCTGCTGCTGAAGATATTTACTACACTGTCAGTCCCTGACCAGGGGCTCACGGTGATGGATGAGTTTTTTTTACACAGCTTCTTGGGCAATCTTGACAAAAAATTCTAGGAAGTATGATCACCTTTTGGCTGTTGGGGAGAAAATAAACGCCGTCTTCTGCAGCTTCCTTTATCAAGGGTGCAGTTGATACTTAAAATCTAATAATGCAGGAGCAATGTTCATTTAGTTCCATTTACTGTATGATAAAATAATGTCAACATAGTGCCAGGATTAAACCCGGCACAAAATGGTTAGATGATGTGCTTTGGGGAATGTCTATAAATATGTAAATTTGTTTTGTGAGGGAGTGTGCGGTGCACACATTCACATGCACGCGGTTTCCTTCAAGAGAAAAAGAATAATCCTGTTAGACTGAAAAAGAAGAATAGGTACATGAGAGGCAATTGGCAATTCAAGAACTCCGTACAGGCTCTGGATATTTTCTTGGGGAAGGAAAACTATTTTCCTGACATGTAAGTTCACAATATGCAGAAAGATTTTTACGGGAATATATTTTAAACAGGCTAGGTGTGATGGGAGTTAGTTAGACATAACAATATTGTAATAATGTGTGAATTCAGGGCTTTTGAAATAAGAGATAAGAAATAGTGGGTTGGAGTAAAGGAGGGAAAGCTTGCATTTCAAACTAATTGGAGAATGTGATTTATGACTGTAAATTAGGGGAGGGAATTGTGCTTTGATATAATGTGTTCAGGGGAGGGGAATCCAGATTTTGGCTTGGACTATGTACGTGCCGATGTGTTGCTACTCAAATAAAGTTTCTTTAAAGTAAACAATGCCTCAAAGTTCTTTGAAGAGTTTCATCTGTCAGAACCATGACACTAGGTGGAAGAGTTAAAAAAAATAATGTAATATTGTTAATTCTTTTGCTTAAAATTTAGGGGGTAGGTTATTCTATGCTACTGCCACTTGCTCTTTGTGCATTTTTCCCCATGTTTATTAAAAGAATATTTAAATTTGAGTTCATAGGTAGCCCTTGCTTAGAAACCATTGGGACCACAATCTTGGGCATTGAGCGAAGTGGTTGTTAAACGAGACATCGCATGACTACTTTGCTCAACAACTGCAATTTCAGCACATCCTGGTTGCTGTCATTTAAACAGTCTTGCAGGTTGTTAAGTGGACGAAGGGATTGGTGCCTCAGGGGATAGACTTATAGAAAGACAGGGCTTGTAGAAATAGATGTCAGACATTATGTCTATTTGGAAGCTGCAGCATTTGATGTGAGCGTTGAACTTTGCGCTGATGGCAGAGCAAGTTCAAATTCTAGCTTTAGGGAAATTTAATTTCCCCAGATTGTGGTTAAACATAATTGTAGGTTTGTAGATATCTATTACATAGGGTAGCAATTTGAGCATTTAGAGTACTAGTTTTGCTCCAAAATGAATTATTTCGAAAGTTGCCTTTGGAAGTAGATGAGCTATAGTCTACATTAGTTGATCAACGTACACATTTCTGATGACCTACTATCTTCTTAAAAGACAAACACAACAAGCACTATCAAAGCAGCTTTGCAAATTCTATCCGTTGGCTGAATTGTAAGAGAACTGTTGTTTTGGGCTCTTTAAAAATCAGAAGTAATAACATTAACCTTTTTCTCTCTCTGCCTTAAAACAAAGTATTTGGTATGCTACATTTCTAATCTTTCCCAGAAATAAACCATAAAGATCTCCAGTGAAGAAAGTCTTCCATATTCGGCATAGCTGATACAATTAGCTGGAGAGAATTTGGGGGAGAAACCGCCAAAGCTGGTGAATTGATACATTCCAACGACTCTCTCTTCCTATTTTTTTTTCTCCTTTGACGGATGAAGTTTTTTGGATGATCAATGAAACATCTCAGATTAATCAAGTTTGGTCCAGTTGCTACGACTCAACCTTTTAGATTCGCTTGGCCTGGATGATTGAGCCCTCTTTGACATTTTGCAACCTTTGGACAAGCAAAGTCAATGAGGAAGTCAGGTTCATGTAACAATCGTGTTACTAGCAACTGGAGTCGTTCACGTAACCACTGGGGCAAGAAAAGTCGTAAAATGGAGCAAAACATGGTGGGGCAGTGGTTAGAATGCAGTATTGCAGGCTAACTCTGCATTCCC